CTTCCTGCCTTCCTGCCTTCCTGCCTTCCTGCCTTCCTGCCTTCCTCTCTCCCTCCCTAATCTCTCTCTTTCTCTCTCTCTTTCTTTCTTGTTTCTTGAGACAGGGTTTCTCTGTGTAGCCCTGCCTATCCTGGCATTCACCCTGTAGAGTGCTGGCCTCAAACTCAGAGATTCACCTCCCTCTTTGCTGGGATTAAAGGCTTGTAACACCACCTACGAGTATAGCTATTTTTCTTAAATATAATTTTAAACTTACAGAAAAGTTAAAGTACAAAGATTTTTTAAATCTAGAATTATGTTTTAGTTAGGGTTTTATTGCTGTGAAGAGACACCATGACCACAGCAACTGTTATAAAGCAAAACATTTAATTGGAGCTGGCTTATAGTTTTAGAGGTTTAGTCCATTGTCATCATGGCTAGAAGCAAGGTGACACACAGGCAGACATGGTGCTGGAGAAGGAGCTGAGAGTTCTACATCTGGACTGGCAGGCAGCAGGAAGAGAGAATCAGTTCACTGGGCCTGCCTTGAGCTTCTGAAACCTCTAGGCTCTCCCACCCCCACGGCACACTTCCTTCAACAAGGCCACAACTCCAATAATGTCACTCTCTGTGAGCCTATGGAGATTATTTTTATTCAAACCACCACAGACCAAATCACTATAATATTACATTTTGCTGCTTGAAACTAAGACCTTAATTTTTTTGTAACTGAACACTGCAGTGCTTAGAGTTATCTAAATTTCTCCTTTTGGTTTTATTTATTTATTTTACATAAAAATCTAAAAACATGCAGTATATTCTTTTGGGAAAGAACTGTGGGATTTAAAAATACATAAATATTGAAGTAGAATGGCACATGTTTGTAGTACCAGCATCTGGGATGTTAAAGTAGAATTGTGAGTTTAAGGCCAACCTGTGCTGCAAAAACTGAGAACAACAACAAAAAATTCCTCAACCATAATGTACCATTTTCTGTTACAGACTCTATTCTTCATCAGTTATTTATTGTTCGATTCCTTGGTTCTATGGAGGTAAAGTCAGATGACCATCCAGATGTTGTCTATGAAACAATGCGCCAAATCTTAGCTGCTCGGGCTATCCATAATATCTTTCGCATGACAGAATCACATTTATTAGTCACTTGTGACTGTTTGAAGTAAGTAGTAACCCTCCCCAAGCAAAATTATAGGAAAAATAATTTTCTAATTCAGCCTAATAAATTGTTTTCTGAATTTTTAATTATTATAGGTTAATTGATCCACAGACCCAAGTTACAAGGCTCACAGTGAGTTCTATGTCATTAGAACTTTAAATATCACTTGTTCATCTATACATTTTATAGTTTGATAATAACCTTGCTGTACATATTCTGGTCTGACAGTATCAATTATGATTGTTCTTTAGGCTGTAATTATAAACACAGCCTGCTCCAGAAAGCTACTGAGCACTGTGTAACTTGAAGAGTCAACATATTTTAGAGTTTCCATCCCCAGAGAGTTTATATACCAAAGAAGTTAACATAAAAATTAAGAACAACATAATTGAGTTTATTTTATAATTCTATATTTCTTTGTAGGTATGTGTATGTATTGAATCATTTATTAATTTTTATAGTTAAATTTATATTGGAAAATGTTATTGAAAAATAAAACTTAGTATTTAACAACTTTTTTGTAATAACCAAATGTGGCATTATTTGTTTGTAGATTATTGTTCCTTTGAAAATTTGTCTTTACAATTCTAATAATGATATTTTTAGAGTTTAACATGAAAGTTTATCATCTGAATGTTTCTGTAATGATTTGGAAGATCTCATGCTTATTTATGGTGTTTCTGTGGCAGTTTCCATTACCATGTGTAGTTTTGTATGCTACACACCAGGAAAATAAACGACTTTTTGGATTTGTTCTCCGGACATCAGGCGGAAGAAGTGAAAGTAATTTGTCATCAGTCTGCTATATATTTGAATCAAACAATGAGGGGGAAAAGGTACCTGATTTTCAAAATGTTTGTTTTGTAAAATGCCTATCTAGAGGTGCTAGTTTTTAAACTCTACTTGATTTGGGGTTCCTTAAGCCTCTACCTCCCTTCCAACCCCAAGCCCTAGGTAGGAGAGAAAGAAGGTTAGAAGGGAAAAGGGATGTAGACCTCTTTAGACTTAGTTCCAGCTGGTTAAAGTCATTGAGTTCTTTGGGAAAATACCAATCTCAGTCTTCAGGAGATCCAGCAGTCCGGCAACAGCAAACTCAGCAAGACGAACAAGCAGCCTTCTTCCTCCTCTGTCCATCTCCTCAAGGCCCCTTCCTCCTTCTGGGCTCTGGTATTTTATACTCTCCCAGAGTCCTCAGAATTCCACTAACTCCAGTGGGCAAAGACCATGCCCCTCTCTGAGCTCCAGAAGGTAGTCCTCAGCTTTGTACAAACTAAGGCAATCCCATATCCTTTTAATCCTTTGGATTAAAACAAAAACCTGCTTACATAACATAACTGAGTTTATAAAAGAAAACAGAATTTTCACTACACCTATCAGAGTCACAGTTTTAACTTAAAATTTTTGGAAAAAGTTCTCAGGTTATGCCTAGTCCCGCTGAGCTGCTTGATAAGAGAGAGCACACTGCTCTGGAAAGAGCCGTGCTGATGAGTGGAGCCTGACAGGTTCTGTGGACTGCTGACAGCTGGTGAAGTCTTCTTGCCTCATTAGCTTACCCTGAGACGGAGTATACTCCCACAGTAATTTCTTAGATCATTAATTTACACTAGTGTCATTACCCGATCCTTTATTCTTTTCATGACTTACTGTTTGAGTAATGATGTCTTAAAGTTTTGTTTTGTTTTTGTTTTTTTTGTATTTTGAGTACTGTATTTGCATCATGTCTTCTCTTCCAACTCCCTTTTCCAACTCCTCCTGTGTCCGTCCCTCTTCAAAAGTTCATGACTTAATTATTATTATTGGGGTGTGTGTGTGTGTGTGTGTGTGTGTGTGTGTGTGTGTGTGTGTGTAAATCTTACCGAGTTCTTTGAAGTGCTGCTTTTAGATGCATGTGTTTAGGTCTGACCACTTAGCATTGGATAACTTTTTGGGGCTTGTCCATGGACAAAACAGATTCTTCATCTATCAGCAACCATTGGTTGCTTGTAGCTCTTCATGTAGGGGTAGGGCCTTATAGTTCCTCCATCTCTATTGTCAAGTCAGTTATGAATTCATCAGTTCTGAGGAAAACATACTGAGATTATTTTAGGGGGTTGAAATATCTTTAGATTAATTCTTATTTGAAGCAGTTATTATAAAATCATTATTATAAAACTAGTTATGTCATCCATTTAAGTATTTGAAAATCTTTGTTTAATATAAAAGTATTTAACCTAATATAAAAGTTTTACTTTTTCCTTCTTTTAGATTTGTGATTCTGTTGGATTGGCAAAACAGATAGCTTTGCATGCTGAACTGGTAAGAATCAGAGCCACTTAATTTCCAAGTTGTCTAAGCTAAAGCAATGTAATAAAAGCTCTTTCATAATAGAAAGCAAAATTCTTTTGCTAAACAAGATTAACAGTGGGTACTATTGTTCATAATGGCATTTAGAATCTAGAGCCAGGCAGTAGTGGTGCATGTGTTTAATCTCAGTACTTGGGAGGCAGAGTTTGAGGCCGGCCTCGTCTACAGAGTGAGTTCCAGGACAGCCAAACCTACACAGAGAAACCCTGTCTTGGGAAAACCAAAAAGCTAACCAAACAAACAAAAAAGAATCTGGATTAATGTGCATTAGAGAATGAAAACGATTGGTATGCCTTATATAAAAGTACTGGAAAGTTACAAAGCTTATACTAATTGAAATGTGTAAAATTTAACGTATTTGTTTTATTTATTCTCCCACTCCCTTTTTAGGATCGTAGGGCATCAGAAAAACAAAAAGAAATAGAGAGAGTAAAAGAGAAACAACAGAAAGAACTCAGCAAACAAAAACAGATTGAGAAGGTACTGATGATGACTAATTCAACACTGTCACTTTCAAGTTTTAATTTCCAATGGAAGTCCATTTCTGCTTGTTCAGCCATCTGATGACCAGATGGCTCATTTCGTAGCAGACAAGGGTTGACATCTGAGTTGTGTGGTCGCTGCCAGTATATAGAACATAACTTGCTGTTACAGAAACCTGCCAGAATCTTCATGACCAGTTAGGGTTGTCGCTGCAAAACAAGTTCTTTTGAGAGACTTTTTTTATTTTAATAAATTGCAGTTTATTTACTTTGTATCCCAGCTGTAGCCCCCCCCCCCAATTCCCTTCTAATCCCACCTTCCCTCCCTCTTCTCCTCCTATGCCCCTCTCCAAGTCCACTGATAGGGGAGGTCCTTCTCCTCTTCCCTCTGACACTAGCCTATCAGGTCTCATCAGGAGTCGCTGCATTGTCTTCTTCTGTGGCCTGGTAAGGCTGCCCCACCTTCAGGGAGAGGTGATCAAAGAGCCAGCCACAGAGTTCATGTCAGAGACAGTTGAGAGACTTTTTAAGTAGACTTAATTGCCTTGCTGAAAGCCACATTGACTGTGGAGGGGAAATTAATTATTTTAAATATTACAGGTGTGTCATTCACAAATGTACACACCTATACATTCACACACATACACATTTATAAACGCATATATGTGTTTGTGTGTGTGTATTTCTGAATGCACACAGCATTCAGCGTAGGTTGGTTCTGGAAACCTAGCTGGGGTGACAAGGAATGAAGGAAGGACAGGTACTGAAGACAAGACAGACACATGTATAGAGAAGCTGGGATGGGGTACTTTCTGATAGAGTGGCGCCTTCTCCTACACAACAACCCCAAAACTCAGAGTTTCAGCACTGGAGTATGTACAGCGCTGGAGGTGAGGTGAGTGAGTTTCAGTAGGTCTCTGTCGGGAGTGGCTTCAGGTTGGAGTCATTCCTTAGGTAAGAGGAGGGAAGAAGAAGCTGTGGTTGCTAGTTTTGCATACACTCTAAACATCTGCACGTAGACTAGAGGAAGGCTTTGCCAGTTCCCATGGATTTGGGATGTTGTAGACCTTGGCAAGGCCATGCTCATGTCAGTAATGCACATTCACTCAGGGCTTCCTCCATGTTTCCTACAACACGCTCTTTTAAACTTTTTGGTGCTAAGGATCAAACCTACAAAAGAATAGTTAGACATACACAGGTTTCAGCCCCAGAGCTTGAGGAGGTGATTTGTGGGGTTATAAGCGCCTGTTAAGGGTGGTGATGTTGATGGTAGGAAAACAAGAGAGAAGGTAACTGGGTATATGTATGTGAAGAGACCAGTAGGAACTGGAAGTGAGTTGGATATAGGGTTGAGAAGAGAACATGGCAGACAGTACTGAGGTACAGCTTAGCTGAGGGAAAGTGACACTTCATTTAGCAAGATCACCAGGACAAGAGTAGAGACATGACCGGAGAGGAGTGGGGAGTGGGTGTGGAGTGACCATGAAACTTCTTGGCTATGAGATTACTTATATAGTGTATTACAGATGATGACAGTCCAGAACTTGATTATTAGCCACAAAAAGCCGGGGGGGGGGGCTAAAAACAAACTTTTTCTTGCATGTTTGCCTTTTGGGATTATTCAGATGGTGCCGAAATTCACTTTGATGTCTTACTTGTTGAATATAGCCTTTTTTTCATCCGGTTGTCAGAATGATTCATGTGACAGGATTGGAATGGCTCTCAAGTATAGTAAAGCTGAATGGAAAACTGCATGCAGTTACCTTTGTTTCTTTTTGTCTTTCCATAGGACTTGGAAGAACAGAGTCGGTTGATAGCTGCTTCCAGTAGACCAAACCAAGCTGGTAGTGAGGGCCAGCTTGTTGTCCTTAGCAGTAGCCAATCAGAAGAGAGTGATTTGGGAGAAGAAGGGAAAAAGAGAGAATCGGAAGCATAAACCTGTTGTTGCTTTTTGGTTGATTTCCCCCTTGCGCTGGAATGTGGCACAGGGTGCCATGCTGAAAGGTCAGGGAAGAGACTAAGCTTTATATTTGCTTGTTTCAGCTCCATTTAAAAAGTCTGAGCTTAACAACAGGTTACGGCAAGCATCCCCTTAAAAGTATAATACTATGCATTATCATCAACCTCTGCTTACCTTCTTCATTAGATTGCTGATGAGTAACACTTGCTCAAGATATTTCCCCTTCGAATTGTGGACTTTTTCTCTCGCCCTGTAATTGGCTGTCTCCGTAAGAGATCATTTGTTCTTCAGATTCTGACGTTTGTGTTTGTGCTCTCTCCAGTTCACTAGGCGTCTTGTTGGCAGTGAGGGAGTGTCAACCAAATGAATGTCAGATCCTTTGTGTGGAGAATTCTACAAATTTGCAGATGTTCTAACAATATTAAGTGTGCAATAGAATTTGTGTAAAATCACCAGGACAGTGGCAGGTGGTGCTGTTGATTTCAGGGCATTTTCTGGGCTTGCTCCATTTCTGATGACCGTGTCATGTCAGTAGGAAAGAAACTCCGTGTCTGTTGGTGTTTGAGCAGTTGGTGTTCTGTCACATCTTCTCAGTTCTCAGGTTGGGACTTTACTTACTGCTGCAAAGCAGCAAGGGTTAGAATAAGATTTCAGAATTTATTGAGAGAGTCTTTTGTTGTTCAAACATTTTCTATTAGAATTGACATGTTGAGGGAGTGTTGGAGAGTGATACATTGTATTTTCTGTATTGTGAAATAATTTTTATTGATAATAAGTGACATTTCAAAAAATGTTCTATAACAGTTATGTTTACTGCTTAAAATAAAAATGTGCAGTTTAGTTTAGAAACATAATCTTTTAAATTTCAGACTGATAATCCCAGTATTTTCATAATCCCACATTTTGATAATGTATTGAATTGCCACTTTATATCCAAAAAGGCAGATAACTAATTTATGAGTGTAGAATAATTTGCACTAATTATTGTAAATACTTTTACTTTCCAGATGAGTAAAAGATCTAATTCCATGAAAGACTGAAAAGAAATTGAACACCTCATATAGTATAGGACCAAGGAAGGAGTTAGCTTGCTACCAAGGTTGACATGTCTCTCCAGTTTATCTTCTGTCAAAACTCTTTCTTTACTCAGATTTTAAACTGTTTATAGATATTATTTTCATGTGTTCTACATGAAAAAGTGTATATATATATATATACACACACACTCATGTATACAGGTTAAATATATTGAGTAAAGTATTTTACATAGTCATGTATTTATAGGTCTCCAAGAGGTTAACCACTACTTTCACAAGTAATTTTCTTTTAGTTCTGAATTAGAAGTAGTTTCTGTGTTAGTTTTCAGAATAAAGCTCAGTTTCACATTTTGTAAGTACACAGTTTTCTGCAGGAATGAGCTAACAATATATATATGGTTATGATATTCTTTTTATCCATGTGCCAAATGGGAGTAATGGTTATTTAATATTCTTAAAGTCTTATGTTATCCAAACATACAGTTAATAAGTAGCAATTTATGGAGTACGTTTGGTTAAAAGTATATTTTGTGCTTACTACAGGGAATGCTTTCATATTAGTGTTTCCTTCTTGTTAAACTAGAAATTGCTGTGGTTTGAACTTGATTAGTGGTAGCAAGTTTTGCTTTTAAGACTTTTTTTTTTGAGATTGGTAATGGTTCTGGTTTGTGTTTGTTGTTGTTTTGTTTTGTTTTTATTTTTTGTTTGATTTTTGGCAGTGCTAGGGATCAAACCCAGGGCCTTACACATGCTGAGTAAGCCCTCCACTGCGGGCTACATCCCCACCCCAAGTTTTCAGTTTAATGAAGTCTTTTTTTTTAATCTGGATTTTTTTTTTTGAGGCAGGGTTTCTCTGTGTATAGCCTTGGCTGTCCTGGACTTGCTTTTTAGACCAGGCTGGCTTTGGACTCTCAGCGATCTGCCTGCCTCTGCCTTCTGAGTGCTGGGACTATAGGCATGTGCCACCATGTCTGGCTGTGAAGTCTTTTCTTGATATAAGATGTCTTGCTTACTTCATATGCAGTCTGTCGTTTTATAGTGAGAGTGGTCACCATCAGGAGGCAGTTCTGTTTGGTTGGTGCTTTTCATGGTAGCAAAAAGCTGCTCTTTGGATAAAAATTTAGGCCAAGGGTAAGGCTTTTCTAATTCTTTTTAAGTCATGTTTCGTAGGAATTCCCACAGTTGCTGTGCACAGGTCAGACCAAAATGTGTTTCCAGTGCATAGGACACATCCTGAGTGGATTGAACAGTTTCAGATGATTCAGCTTCTATTCCATCACAATTAAACTGTATGGAATTCTTCACATCAGCTTTAAGGAGCTCTCCTGTTTGAAGAAGGCTGCCTGTGAGCTTCTTCCTAAATGTTAATGCTGATCTTGTTCTGTTCTAGTGTCCTCTAAAATCTCTCCTGGCTTTTTAGAAGTTAACAAAATTCCTTTTTAAAAAAGAAATTTAGCCTAATTCTACTATTCATTCTGTTACCTATATTGACAGTACTTGCATAACTGTGGTAATAAACTCAATAGAAATCACGAATTTCTGTATCCTTCTATAAACTTGCTAGAGACTGAAACTGTCCCTTTGAACAGAGTCCCTGAATCCCTGAAGTTAGTCTTGTTTTTGCCATGTATTTGGTGATTACTTGGTGTTTAATTTCAGAAGAATCCCAGCTCCACAGTGTTAGGATGAGGAAGTTGCCATGAAAAGGCCAGTATGGTGTGCATAACACCATAGGTAACGTGATTGTGTGTGGTTAACACACACAGGTTACTGGAGGAGCCACGCTAAGCACAGCGTGAACTGACACTGCTGGCAGACCTTTAACGCTGGCTTGTTACAGTCTTCTGACATGGGTGAAATGAAAACATTTGCTTCAGGTAACAGTCTGAGCATCCAGATTATACTTTTAACTATATAAACACCAGTGTGTGTGTGTAGCAAGCAAATTTTTTTCATTTTGTTTTTAGCAAATTTGATTTAGTTCTCTTTGAAATTTCTATTCTACATTAATAGCATAAACTTTTAAAACTAGAACCATACTGAACTTTTAATCAGTCTCTGGCTGTACTTGTAGGTAACTGACTTCAGTAAAATGAACACTGGGGATTAAATGATAATTAACGTCCAAGACTGCTTTGTATGTTTTGTGATTTTTTTTGTAATGTAAGTAAATTGATTAATTCGTATTTCACTGATATTAACCAACTGTGCAGTGTACAATTAAAAATCATGCAGCATCTCTTTAAAATTGGGTTTGTGGTCATTGTATAGCGTGTGGGGCAGAGAACTTATTTTTTCATTTGTCAAAATAGGTATTTGCTGACAAGAAATATGTTGTTGGATTTTTTTAAATGTAAAATAAAGTCCATGATTTTTATACAGTCTTTTTGTATGAAATATGTAGTAGTTACTTTGAATTTTATTTCTCCAAGTAATTTCAGATATTTTCAGTCTGGGCCTGGGAGGGAGCTCCGTAGTTGAGTGCAGTTTCTAGCACCATGTCAGATGGCTCGCATTTGTGTGCAGTCCCAGCCTTTTGACATTGATGGGCCTTGCGCTTACATCTCCCATGCTCACATGTACATACCTCCACACAGACACGTATGTACACATACAATTAAAAATAGTAAGACAAATATTAAATTTGCTTTTAATCTATATAACCCAGTTGGCTCCATTGCAGTTCCATGACAGGCAAATTGGGGAAAAATCACTTACTAAGAAAAATTTGTTGACTTTTCTTATAGCAAAGGAAAGAGACATCAATCGTTACTGCCAAAAGTTATTTATAGTAATTGGCTTTGTGCTGTTTTCCTACTTGACGAAATTCATCTGGTTAAAAAGCAGGTTTCTTGTTTCTTTAACTTAAGTTGCTTGGACCTGTAGCTTTAATATTAATGTAGTCATTCCATGTGCTCTGTGCAGTTTATTATTAGAACTTAGCTCTTTCCTTCTGCTGAGAGTCTGCATTCTCATTTACTTCAGTAAGATACATATTCACTGTAAAAAGATTACAAGAGTCATGGCCAGGTGTTGTACACACTTTTAATTCTAGCTTTCATGGGGCGGATGTAGGTGGATCTCCGTGAGTCGAAGCCAGCAGAGCTACTTTAGTGAGAAAAACAGTTGTCAGAAGGGACAGTTGCATTCATACACTTCCTGTGCGATGCACACACAGACCTGGGTGTGTTCCATTATTGAAATGTGCATTAGCTCCCAAGGTCTTGCCATGTGGCCTGGGTGGCCTCAAGTTGGCAGTCCTCCCCTTCAGCTCCTGAACAGTGGGACTGTAGGCGTGTGCCACTGCATGCGGGAGTTTGGGGTTGAGTTTTAAGTACCTTTCAGTTTTAGCCGTGTGGAGAAGCTGTGTGCAAAGCCTTTTTTTTTTTTTTTTTTTTTGAGACAGTCTTAGTCTTACACAGCCAAAGCTTTCTTGAATTTACCATGTAGCCATGGATGACCGTGAATTCTTGATCCTTCTACCTCTCTCCCCAGAGCTGGGATTACAGGCATATACCACCAGTCTAGCTTCAGAGCTACTTAAAAAAATTTTAACTTAGCTGGGTTTGGTGGCTCACACCTTTAATTCCAGCAGAGGCAGGCAGATCTCTTGTGAGTTCAAGGCCAGGCTGGTCTACAAAGAGAGTTAGGACAGCCAGGGTTACAGAGATAAACCCTGTCTTAAAAAAACACACAAAAAATTAAGTTTATTTTGGCAGTTTTACACGTGTACATATTTTGATTATATTTACCACATCATCCTCTTTCATTGCCCTCACATTCCTTCTGAACCCCTTCTTCCCTTTCCGTCTTTATTACTTCTATGTTTGACTCACTGAGTAATGAGGGTTGCTCGCGTGTGTGTACAGGGCAGTACAAATGTAAAGGGCCTGTATGTTAAGTGACTGACTGGAGCATGGACAACTCTAGGGTTACACCACTGAAGAAAGTGACTCTTCCTTTCCTTAACTGCAGTTAATTACCACGAGCTCCTCGGGGAATGCTGGGACCTTCTGAGCCCACCATGATCCATGATGGTTTGTTGTTGTTTAGTTAGAGTGTATGCATGCGTGTGTGTGCCATGGTGTACATGTGGAGTCAGAGGACAACTTCTTGAAGTTGGTTTCTCCTACCTGGTCATCAGGCTAATGTGCAAGCACTGTTTCCTTCTGGCACCATGGTGGAATGTTGGTGGGCCCAGTCTTGGGCAGTGACCACAGTTTCTGTGAGTTCATGAGATCACAGTAACCACGTCATGTATAGTGCTACAGTGCCCCTCACCGTCCTCTGGCTCTGAGCAGCCTTTCTGCAGCTCTTCCTCCTGCCACGTTCCCTGGGCCTCAGAGGGGAGGTTACAAACATTCTGTGCAAGGCTGAACACCCAACAGTTTTTTACGCCCACACTTTCACCAGTTACGAGTCTGCCATAGTGGACACCACTGAAAAAAGAAACCTCTCTGTCCAAGGCTGAGATAACTAATTTATGAGTATAACTATACTTAAAAGGCAGTTTGACAACATGGTCATTTAGCACAGCCTTCCTGGGGCTTAGGAACTCTGCAGCCTGGGGCTTTAAAACATCAGCAGCAATCTCTTGCAACAGGCACGAACTCCTTCCTGTGGAGAGAGTCTCGGATCCAGTCAGAGAAGAGTTGATTTAGCCCATCATAGTCCTGCCACTGGTGCATCAGGGGCACATTTTCCCGGGTAGTTCAGTACTGTACTGTGCAGAGCCCCTAGCTAAGACAGTGCCGGCTCCCACCCCACCCCCAGTTGTCTGCATGGCAACTTCCAGCACTAGGAAAGCTAGCCAGCAAGGAAGAAACTTCCAGATCATTTCTTGAGATCTCTGTGTCCTGCAACCACAGAGTGTGATGGCTTTGGCAGTTGCGTCTCACCGTCGATTACAGTGGGGGTTAGGAGCAGGAACAATGACCTGTATTATTTGAGGGGCTTCTGAGACGCTTTTAGAGAGCTATCCCACCTAGAACAACTTTTTAAACAATATAGACCATACTGAGATTGTAATTACTAAGAAAAGAAAAAGTCACTCAATAACAAGCAGGTGGTTAACAAAATGCTGCAGAGTATACCTTTTCCTCCAGAATTGCTCAGTTACCAGCTTCCTGTAACATGTTCTTGTCTGTAAAGGTCATATTCTTTGTAAAGGATATAAGTTTTTAGGCAGTTGGGCAGTGGAAGAAATGACATGAAGACAGGGCAGCGCAAACGTAACCGTCCCATACACTTCCGGATCTTAAGGCGGCACAAATGTTTGAGAGAACGGGGGTTTGCTAAAACAAAAAAACAAACAAACAAAAAAAAAAATGGCTTTGTTTTTTTTTTTGGTGCCCTGAATGTTTAGTTAGATATCTGTGTTAACAAGATGCACATTTGCTATCACTGTCTGGAGGAAGACAGCTCTTCAGATCTTATCACAGTCTTTTATGTAGTTAGTTCCAGAAGTATATCAGTTGTGAGTCTGGCTTGTGAGACTCACACATTTCACGTACTTAAATATCAGCTCCCCTCCTGTCTCTTGGGATTGGCTAAAAGCTCAGAGATCACCCCCGGAGAAATGAGATTTAAGAAAATCCTAATTTGACCTATGTGAGAGAATTGTAAAAGAAAAAAAAAGCTACAGGGTTAGAACTTAGCTTTCCCTCTTGCTGTTGCCACTTCATAACTTACAATTCCTGGGTTTGTTGTCCCCCATAGCCATCAGTGGCTTTGGGGAAGCAGCGCTGCCGGCCTGGAGTAGGCCATTAGATTCCATCTGCTGGGAGATGATGGCAAGCATGCAGTAAGGGTAGTCGTTCATGGGCAGCACTGTTTTAAAGGAATAGCGTCTTTCTACTCTTTCTTAGGTCAACCTTTAAATTATTAGAGTGTTCTAAACATTAAATAAAAATACAGTTAGTGTTTTGGTAAGCATTTTTTATAAGAAAACAATACTTACTCAAGATAAAATGTATTTCTGACCAGAGCTTCTGTTTCTCAAGCACAGCTTTCAGTTTGGAACAGATTTGCACTTGATCGACATAGTCAAGCATCACTCGAACAACTTTCCCAGAGAGATGCTGTAGCCATGACAAAGTTATGACTTCACAGAACTGTGAGGGAGACAGCAGAAAGCAAATGACAAACAGCACTGAGCACCCGAGTACTGCTGTGAACTCAGCTTTCTTATCTGACCTCAGTGAGGCCTCAGAACCACAGGTGAGGCAGTGGGTGTGGCCGAGCATCACGGATATTTGCTGCTTGGCTCCCTGCAACTCAGATTGCCTTGTAACTAGCTGTGGCCTTTGACAGTTCTAGCTGTCAGATGTAAGTGGGAGTCTGAGCAGCTGCCCAGATAGCCTTAAAGAAAGCAAGACACCTGCAGCCTTCTGGCTAGCTGGAGTATGGGTGTGTGCTTCTGTGAGACACAAAGCTATGGATCCGTCTGCCTGGAAGATTACTTCTGGTTCTTATAGGAGAACAGAATGAGGCACTTTGATTATTTTTTAAAAAACATGTTTAGTGTATGTGTGTGTACATGTGTGTGCGTGTGTTCATGCATATGCATATATTGAGGTCAGAGGTCAGAGTTCTGGAGTTAGTTATTTCCATTATGTGGGTTCGGGGATCAAACTCTGGTCATAAGGCTTGGTGTCAAATACCTTAACTTGCCAAGCCATCTTGCTAGTCTTTTTTTTTTTTTTAAGATTGAGTCTTGCAGTGTTGCTCAGGCTGGCCTCAAATAATGCTGCCTGAGTATCTGGGACTATACGTGTGCCGTCGTGCCCAGCTAGCATTTTTTTAATCTTCTCTTTTTTTGTTTTGCATTTTCTTCTATTTATAACTTAAATCTCATCCTGATGCTTGAATAACATGATTTCTGTCTTTAAATAATGTATGTGCCCTTAAACAAGATGCCCAAATGAGAATTGAAGTTACACATCTGAACTGTTTAGGAGATAATACCAGATGGTGTATGTTTAAACGCCCAATCAGAGTACAAAGTAACTCCTGTCCCAAATAAACACTTCACTTCATCAGACCATTTCAACGTCTTGTATTCACCATCTTGGTTTCACATTTTGATAATAGAAATTCAGGTATGTATAGAACATCCAGACCTAAAAGCCCATGAAACAAGAGCTGATGTTCATATATTTGTGAGGGAGCAAAATAATTAAGATGGTAATTCTAAATAAATGCTAAAAAAGAAACAATCTCCACAATAAGAGAATGAGTGAGAGAGGGAACTACTTTAAGGTGACTGGGAGGGGTCCCTGGGAGAGGAGACTTGAAATAAGACCTGAAAAGTTGAAGAAGCCATCTAAAAGCCTGGAGAAAAAAATTGAAGGTGAGGAACATAGCAGAGGAGGTAAGGCAGAATGAAGAGGCTGGTTGTGATTCTCTTTTCATCAGAAAGATGGCCAAAGGAAATGGGCTGATCAAATTTGAGAGCTAGAAGAGATAACTAAAGAAACCCAGTGATTACAGGTATGGGGAACTTAAAAACATTTTAGCTAAATAAATAAAAGTAGCTAGAATGCAAGATCGTTTAAAACCTTGCTCTCCTGTTAAATTTCTGAAACTTCCTCATAGCGATGACTAAAGTCACTTTCTCTGAATTATTTCTGTATTTACATCTTCCCACTGTTCAGCTTAGTTATTGTATCACGTATCAGAGTCTTTCCAACATGAGCTTTTCCAAGGGCATATGTGTCTAATGTTACAGTTCTAAGGCGGCAAGATAATAAATGCTCAGGGAATACCACCAATACTTGGCTTACCATAGTATCTTTAATAACTGTAGATGTCCAGCCTTCAAAAGTACAAAGATGATGAGCCCTTTCCCCGTGAGGACAATCAAAACATCGCTCGGTGTCATACCCATAATTCAACAGCATCCTGAGCATGACTTCATCTTTCAATGTGTATTGTAGTGCTGATGGGAAATGCAGAGGATTAACTCTGCAGTAGTAATTGACATTGGCCCCGTGCCTCAGTAGTAGGCTTATGAGCTCATAGTTGCCCATCCTGAGAGCTATCTGTAGGCAGTTGACAGGGTCTTGATTGGGTAGAGCTCCAGCGCCCAGAAGCAGCTTAACTGAAGAGAGGTCACCATTTGAAACAGCAAAGTACAAAGCCGACTTCCTTTGGTCATCATAATGTTTACGGATTCTCTGATCTAGCATGAAATTCACATCAAATCCAGCCTGAATGAGAAGTTCCAGGCACTCGGGGCGCGCCCCTGCCGCTGCGCAGTGAACTGGACTGATCCCACTCCTCTTGATGGCAGCAATGTCTGTGACTGGGATCAGTATCTTCAGAGCTCTGAGAAAGAATTTGAAAATGCACTTCAGGTTTCAACACAGCATTAACCTGCTTATGAGTCTGTTATTCTTCCATTGATTGATGTTAATCTGGCAGTATTTAGGACCCCTAACAAAAGTGCTAGCTAGTTTCTTCAACAAGAAACTCAGATGCCAAGTAAAATGTAATAGAACCACTGTTTAGGTTTTAAAAACTCTGAATTAGCCCAGTCACCTGAGACCCAAGGCTTCCCATATTTCTCAAGATTTTTTTTTTTTAATTACGATTTTCAGTTATTTACAATTACAGAATTGTACTTACAGGAAGTGGCCTTTGTCAGCTGCCACATGAATGGGCAGGTGGCCTGAACTTTTAGGAATGTTGGCATCAGCTCCATACTCTAGCAAGAGAGTCACAGAATCTGGATTCCCTCCTCTAACCGCTTCAAGTAAAATGGAGGAAGAATCAGAGGCCTGACTATGAACATCAGCTCCTGGAAAAAGAAAAAGTCTCATTAGGCAGAGATCTTTTTTCACTATATTGCTTCAGCAGCTACAATATACCACTGTCTCCACTAAGAAGCAGTTAGGGCCTGGAGAGATGGCTCAGCACTTAAGAGCAATTGTTCTCCCAGAGGATCAGGCTTTGGTTCCCAGCAACCAGATGATGCTTCACAGCCATCGGTAATTCCAGTTCCAGGGGATTTGGTGACCTCTTTTGACCTCCATGGGCACCACACATACATGGACATATACATGCAGGTAAACACTCATGCATAGGTAAATGTAAAAATAAAACATTTTAAAAACAATTAGCACCTGTTGTAATAAAGCACTAAGAGTGATGTATGTTGGAATAAATTGTCCAAAATTTAGTGTGGGGAAGAAGTAAGGGGAGGTGTTGGAAGGAGCCTGCTGTTTGAGGTTGCAGTCCTCCCAGTCTGGAGAGCCATTCTGAGCTCAGTATTAAGGTCCAAGACGCCTTCTCCCCAGCAGGGCCTCCTGCTCTCTGCCTGATTGCATCTGGAGAGTCTTTTTTAAATTTCATTTTATATGCTTTAGTGTGAAGGTATCAGATCCCTTGGAAATTGGCATTACAGACAGTTGTGAGCTGCCATGTGGGTGCTGGGAATTGAACCCAGGTCCTTTGGAAGAGCAGACAGTGCTCTTAACCACTAAGCCATCTCTGCAGTCCCTGGAGAGAGTCTTGACAAAGCTGCCCCTAACCACATTTGATATAGGGCCTTTGACACAGTTCCCTGCTAGCTCTCCCCTCGCTGAACGTACAATAGGAGCATGCTCTTTAATTCGAATCAAGCATTCTTGAAGTTCCTAGTTTTAACCAATTATGTACACCTATCCTTGGAGCCCCACACACTCCCCAAGAGAAATAAAGCCTTTGCTCTCTGGAATGAAAGTTGAACTAGTTCCCTGAAGTGGTTCCCGGAGTATATGATGTCCGTCATGCTCAGGATCTTCCAGGCCCTGCGCCTTGCCTTCTGCTCCTGCCTTCATGGACTAGTGGTCAACAGCCCCCAGGAACAAGGAAAACCACAGAGAGAAGGCCAAGAAATACAGTTCATTGGAATAAGTACGTTTAGTCTTCTCATTTGGATCATCTGGAATTTGCAGCACGTATTGAGGCCTAATTCATCCTACTTTCCATTAGACCAACATTTGCGTGTTCTACCTTGCTAGCATTTATAGTCATTGTCCAGCATCCTTTTATTCTTACACCTTGCTCACCCTCGTTACAGAGAAGCACCGTTCTAATCTCTAAAGGAGGCCAGCTTTTGAGACTTTGATACTTACATGAGATCACTGTGTATTCTCTCGTTTTGTGTCAGATCTACTTCACTTGACATAATATCCCTAGGGTCACTGATTGCCAAAGAATTATAGGATCTCATCGCCCTTAATGGCTTGGTGATATTTAAACATTTATATACTACATTCTCTGATGATTCATACTTTAATACAATTAGTATTTTAGAGAGAAAAAAAATTTTCTAGACTGTCTCTGACATGAACTCAGAGGCTAGCTCTCTGACCGCCTTCCCCTCATGGGGGAGCAGCCTTGCCAGGACACAGAGGAGGACAATGCAGCCAGTTCCGATGAGACCTGATAAGCTAGGACAGATGGAAGGGGAGGAGGCCTCCCCTATCAGTGGACTTGGAGAGGGGCATGGGAGATGAGGGAAGGAAGTAGGGTTGGATTGGGAGGGGGCTACAGCTGGGATACAAATTTATTAAACTAATTAATATAAAGAACAAAAATTTAATTGAAAAAAATGCATTAAGAAAATTAAAAAAAAAAAAAAACTTCTAAACTTCACAACCAATCTCAGAGAAAGGTTCTAATATCCTCACTCAAAAGGTGAAGAAACTCAGGCTTTCTGGGTTTAAGTGTTCCAGAGACACACAGCTAGTAGACAAGCAAGGTGATGAAGACTTGTGTGCAAATCTCCAGACCCACGTTTATTTCTGTGAGACCATGTAGCTGCTATGGCCACACAGGCTGGTAAACAATGTGATTTCCTAAGCCAGGTTGCTGGCTTAGTGGCAGCAAATGCTGATTTATTTGAAGGTGAAAGATTTAAGAGGAGTTGCCGTCCCTCCATCTCTAATTAAATCAATGGTCTAAACAAAGGCTTCCTCTTGGGCTAGGGATGTAGTTCATTAGAGTTCTCGACTAGAGAAGACTGTGTTCAACCCCAGCAACACACACACACACACACACACACACACACACACACGGTGGGGAATGGATGGATTGCAGCAGGGACTTTGGAGGAAAGGACCAGTAACACAAAGTTTAAAACTCTCTTAGTGTGATGGGCAAAAAGTCATCTGCAGCCTCAGAATTTTAGTAAAATTGTGTCACAGGAGACTCAGTTTCCATTTCAAGTTCAGGCTTTTTAAAAGCCAACGCTCACACACATTTTCTCAAACGTTGGTCTTAATAAAAGTTAACTTTTTATAATTTTGAAACATCCCATCAAGAGGAACCTGAATGGGGAATCTGAAGAGGTGGTTCAGTGGTTAAGGGGACTGGCTGCTCTTCCAGAGGACTTGGGCTCAATTCCCAGCCCTACATAGCAGCACACAATTGTTTTAACTCTAGTTCCTGAGCACCTGACTCCATTTTTTGGCCCCTGTGGACTTCGCATGCACAAGGTGAATGGACATACTTGCAGGCAAGAAGTGCACACACACAAAAACTTAAAAACAGCAACTTCCCCCAAACCCCTTGGATCTTAGTACCCCTGTAATGAGCCATTAGATAAATCTTGCCTTTCTGCAGTAGAAGTTCCATGATTTCAGTGTGTCCGCTTTGAGCAGCCAGGGCAAGAGGAGTAAATCCATAGGAGCTCCGTGCATCTGGATGTGCTCCAGAGGCCAGCATTAACTTTACCATGTTCCTTCTGCCTAGCTTGGCAGCTTCATGGAGAGCTGTCCTCTCATTGGCACACCTCAGATTGACGTCTGCTCCATGGCTGATCAGCAAGGTGACCATGTCGTAGGAGTCTTTCAGAACAGCTGGGGAATTGTGAAATGGACATTATGTTAAGAGGGGTTTAGTATCATGTTAGCGAGCACTCCTGAGCGTCTTAAGGAACGCTTTCCCTCTTCGCCATGCCCCAGCCGTCTGTGTTTAGGAAGCGCATTTTAAAATAGGGCAGATGCAGAGCAATGCTAGAAGTGTTTTATATCAATGGGTGTTTGCTTTTTGTAAACTGTGAGCAGCTGCTGTCAACTGGGTGTTTACATGGTTGAGACAAAGTTTAATTTACTATATTTTCTCAAGAATATGGGAGCTTGGTGGAGAGGCTCTCAAGCTCCATCCCTCCCTAGGATCCACAGGCAGTTAATGGTTACTGGAGGACAGAGACGTTTCTTCAGAGATAGACCCACTATACCTTGTCCATGCGCCTGTAAATACCCTCTCAACCACATTTCTTTAAGCAACCGTAATTAAACTCACTGAATCACCAAAAACAAGGACATGAAAGGGGGTAGTTGGAAAGAGGACCAGTAGAGGGAGAGGAATAAGAGGTTAAGTGGGGAATGAACATGACAAATACATTATGCACGTATATGAAAATGTCATAGTGATGGTGTACGTCAAGTCAATATACAAAGCGCCCTGCGTCAGTCACCTGAAATATGTCACACAGGAAAAACCTTTCACTTTGGAGAATGTTATAATGAAATCCAGTATTATGTGTAAATAATTATGCTATTTTTCTTTTCCTTTGTTCCTTTGTTCCTTCGTTCCTTCGTTCCTTCTCTCTCTCGCTCTCTTTCTTTTGAATGAAAGTAAAGAAGGGACAGTGAGATGGCGAGGTAGACAAAAGCTCACTGCTCTGCCCGACAACCCGCGTTCCTTCGCTGGGCCACACATGGTAGAGGGAGAGACCCAACATGTGCAAGTCGGTACGTCACCCCCACATGGTGCCCTGGCATGTGTACCTCAAGCTCCCCACACAATGCAGAAACAAATGAAGAATACTATACGAAGGGAAAGAAAATGCATGTTAACCATTGCAGAATACTTCAGGAGGACAGAGATGCTAAACAAGCCTAAACCTGATACTGACATTGCTTTTTGACCTGTGACATGGAGTGGAAGGGACAGTTTTTATTTACATGTGAATTCTATTTTTGGAGTTGTTTCTGTAAACCATCTTTAATGAAAGTGAACTATATATATATTTTTAACTGTATATTTTTAATGGGAGTCTAAATGCTAACCCTGAGTCCTAAGATACCTGTCATACAGAATGCTCTCTGAGGTTCGTTGTGGTGGGAATCATTATATAGTTAGCAACAACCAAAACAATAAACAGTGCCGGCCTAGATTCACAGCACCACAAGCAAGATGAATAAATGGAAGGCAGAGCTCCAGAGGCAAGCCAGCTTTCCATTAGCACTGTGAAAGTCTTCAGAGTTTAATGTGTTTTTCACATGTGACTTTACACACCCTGTTATCACAGACAACCGAGGTTCCGAGAGAGCTGAACTGAGCCTCGGCTCTTGTACCTCCCTGGGGTAGTGCTTTGTAGTTCAGGCACTGCCTTCTCAGAGGAGGCTCTTCTGCTCAGTGTGGGTTTTCTAAAACGGAAAGACTCAAAGCCACACAAGACAGCTTTGAGCAGTGCTGCTCAAAGAATTTATTTGTGCTGGGTTTGAAGAGACAGATTATCTACCTTTCCCACCTATTTTTGTTCTTTTTCGGAGGAATTTTAATCCCCCCCCCCTTTGGGACACGTTATTGCTATGTGACCCAGACTGGCCTCAAAGTCAAGAAGGCTTGGTTTTATGCCGAAGCCCCCACACCCAGCTGTATACAAACTAGAAAGCAGGTTTCTGTGCTGGTCAGCAGGGACCAAATTGTCAGTACCATAACTAAAAACCCGTGGGCATGGTGGAGACTGAGACTCTCCTTCAAAGACAAGGTATTCATTTACCTGTAAGAAGAGGAGAATTGCCTTCAAAATTCTTAGCATTTGGATCGCAGCCATTGAGAAGGAGAAAACAGGCATTTTCTAGGAGGCTACTGCTGACAGCCAAAAAAAGGGGTGTTTCACCATTGTGGGTGGTTTGTTCCCACATGCTGGGTTTGGAAGCTGAAATAAATCCATCACACCACACAGGTTAAGATGCAGAAATAAACCTAACCTATTCCTCAGAAGCAGCAAGAGGAGTGGAAGGAGTTTACCATTCAGGGTCATTTCCAAGATGTTCTTATTCAGCTGTACTGCTGCCTTGTGCAGAGGAAGCCAGCCACTCCCACTGGCTTCAGCAAAGGCAGGGTGGCACTCGGCTAACTGTGCCAGCGCGTCTTCCTTACCTAGTAATACGGAAAACAAAACAGATTCACATTTGGCGCACGCAGGGGTCCACACTGCTTTTGAGATCTACCAAAGCTAGTGGAGAAGAGCGGAATCTGAGCACCTTCATCAAGGAAAGGCAAGTTTAAAGTCATAGGACAAGCACTGACGCTTTTCGCCCAGCCTTCCCAGAAACGCCCCCAGCTGTCTATACAGGAACTCTGGCACTCTTTGATAAGTTATGCTGAAGCATTTCCTCCCAGAAAAGACCACTTCAGACTCTGATCTCCAAAGGCCCAGTCTGTCATAGAACCTGTCTCCAGACTTTGGAGCATGGAAGCAAATGCTGTCTGCCTCCCCGCCCCATACCCTACCACACACTGAAGGGAGAACTAGGAAGAGTACTTAACTGTCTCTATTGCTTCAATTATCTTCTTATAATCATCACTCAAAATGGAATGGGATCTGCACAGAAAACAGTACGTATTATCAGTCTAAGGTTTCTGATAGAGACCCCAGGGGAAAGGCAGAGACAGCAGTAGCTCCTCGGTTTGACCTCTCATCTGAGGCCTCCACTGAGACCTACTAGAAACACTTGGCACAGGGCGGGCGTGAAGCTCAGTGTTGGAGTGCTCGCCGAGCACGCACACCAGCTTGGGTTTGAATCCCAGTGCTCACATCAGTGCCTACGCCCATGTGCCCACATACGTAGGTGTGCTTGTCCACGGGCGCCTCTGGGTTAGGGGTGAAGACAGGTTTCATTTGTGCAGTGTAGTATGTTCCTCAACACATTTCCAGAAGCTGCCCGTGCAGGCCCGCCAGCCCTTAGTACACACTAGCTTCTCCGAGGCACGGAAACAAGGTCTACATGGGAGCCTATACTCAAGTATCTGCCTTCCATCCATGTTGCCGAACTGATTCAAATCTGCCCGAGAGTGACATATCGTTGTACTGCATGGAAAAATCGATGGCCACGCTGTGATTTACCAAAATTTATTGCTAAAAAATACATAACCAGGCTGTGATCTTTAAAGTGTCCCCATGGTTAGAATTCTTTCTCAGGAATCAGTAACAGCTTAAATTATACTTTTGTGAAAATACCTAAACGTTAAAGCTTTGTATCCGAATTTTTAAATTCTGAGACAGGATCTCACTCTGAGGCGCAGGGCTGCTTCATAGCCCTGCCTCATTTCTGCCTCTGTAGGGACTAGAGGCACGCAGCTCTGTGCCTGAGTTCAATATAGGAATCTTAGGTTGTTTTCTCTCATTACTCCATGACTCTAGGTTGGAGAAAATGAATTTTCTTAGATACTCTGTCCTGTTCACAGTGTGGACAATTGATTGTCTTTAACATTTAAAACTGTGTTCGTGGGTTTGGTGCTGTGTTAGTTTGGTGGTAAGAAACTACCAAACCCGTTACTTTACAGTTCTTCGGCTCTGGACTCTCCCACAGGTCTGCCTCCTCCTGAAGGCTCTGGGAAGACTTTGTTTCCTCGTCTTTTCCAACTTCTGGTGCCACCATGTGGTTTTTGGTACATGAACCTGTTCCTCCCCCCGTCCCCCCCGCCCCAAGGTCCTTGATTGGTGCAGCCTTCTCTTCTGTGACACCTTCCAGGCACTTTCCTCTTTTTGATTTTACCTTCACCTTTGAGGGCCCTTGTGACTACACTGGGCCACCTACACTAGGCGAGTAGCATCTCTAGCACCGTTTCGCTTTCCTTCACTTTGCTACGTAAGGTTTGTGCACTCCGGTTTTTAGGAATTAGGGAGTAAACACCTTTAGTTTGGCTATTACTCCACACTGCACAGGAATATTCACTCTTTCCTTTGTGTGCGTGGTCCCTGTGTGTGCACAGTTCCCAGAGGTCAGCACCCGGGCTGCCTCTATCACTTCTCCATGTTTTTATGACACAGGGTCTCTCACCGCGACCTCATCGGGCCAGCTGGTCTGGCTGTGGGCAGCCAGTGAGCTTGGGTACTGATCTGCCTGCCTTCCCCAGGCACCGAGGCTGCAGTCATACAGCGCCCTGCCTCACATTGTGTGGGTGCTGGGGTTCTAAACTCAGGACCTCACGTTTGCACAGGAAACACTTTATCCAGTCCCTGTTCTAGACCTCCGACACCAACAAATGCCTGACCCAATCAGCAATCTTACCTAAGTACCGTGCAAATTTTGAAGTTTAATAAAAGAAATTTATGTAATGACTACAATTTCAATTTTCTTTGAAGCATTTCCATACTGTACTTAGTCAAAATATTTTATACTTTTTATACTCAAATTATTATTTCAAAATTAATTACTTGATTATGCATTTAAAAATAATCATAAGAGTAATATGACAAGACAACCTAATAAGTCTGATTTTCTTATAAAACTTTAAGCATTTAACTCTCATTTAGACCATCATCCTAAAGTGAACACCAATGTGTGGAATAGTGGTGTGATGGAAAGCACAGAGCTTGTGTCAGCTTGCATCTTCAGTAGCTGAGTGAATGTGAGAAAGTTACTCTTGTCTGCCTCAGTTTCCTTATTTCTAAATGGGAAAATAACAGCACGTCCCCAGAGAGAAATACTGAGAATTCGGATTTAAGTGAGTTAGTGGCTAACGAAGTTCGTGCATACTGTGGCCGCACAGTATGAGTTTGTTACACGTAGAAAATACAATAGGATGCTCGGGGGAGAGACGGCTCAGTGGTGAAGAGCGTGCACTGCTCTGGGACATGCTCATAGAGGACCAGAGTTTGGTTCCCAGCACCCACACTGGGCAGTTCACACCCACCCATAAGTGCAGCTGCAGGGGGATCTGACACCTGTGGCGTCCACAGACACCTTCGTTCAGATGCCTAAGTCCACACCGTACACAGACATTTGAAATAGAAAATAAATCTTTAAAGATCCTATAGGTTTGATTTAATTCATCAGTTCTATGTTTAATTTTAAGATCACTTGAGGTTAAAAATGGTAACTAGAGGTTGTCATGCCAAGCAAGCTCGGTTTATCATCTCAGGGGGGAAATGTTTTCAACCTCAGGGGCCAGTGTTAGCTGTGCATGGCTGTGAAATGTCCATACCCAGGCGAGGGGACCCCTCTACTGTTTAGAGCCCGAGGGACTGTTTCGCCTCTAAGCCACACACCAGAGGCATCAGTCTCTTGAGATTACAATCCCACGTCTAGATCTGAGTAGATAAAAGACTGGGTTCTTCCTCACCTGCCTCACTAAGATAATTGTCTATGTGTAGATTCTTGTGTAACTTGAACTCCACAAGGACAGACGTGTCTTCTCTGGCCCTTCAGAGACTGCATTTACTTCTTTTTTCTGGTTTCCAGTGTGCATCTTCTCACTCAGATTTGCTGTTACCCTCCTTCAACTGTTTTCTTTACCTATTAAACTTTTTGAGTCCCCCCTCCCCAAGACAGGGTTTCTCTGTGTAGCCTTGGCTATCCTGGACTCGCTTTGTAGACCAGGCTGGCCTCGGACTCAGAGATCTGCCTGCCTCTGTCTCTTGAGTGCTGGGATTACAGGCGTGTGCCACTGTACCTGACTACTTATTAATTCTTAATTCTTTCCATTTTTTTTCTGTGCATTTGGGCATCATATCTTATATACACTTAAGTTACAGTTACTTGTTGGGAAACAGGTCAGTGGTGCAGTGTTGCGGATATAAACATGATTTTGTTTTAATACCAGATGTGGGATGTGGAATGATTCAGATGGTTCACAGCAGAAAACTATTTGCCTCGTGCAGGCTCTGAGAGGCGCTCTTTGCCAGCTGCAGGTAGTTTAAATCTGAGGACTCTGGAGAGAGAATAAATGCCAGAGTCCAGAGAGTGTTGGGGAGCTCCAAAAAAAGATCAAGGCTGCTGCTACTTCCTCCCTTCAGCTCCTGTTGCTGTTGAAGCAGTGAGACAAGAAGTTGGAGATCTCCTGAAACAAGGATTGGAGTGGCTCCAAGGAACCCGAATACCTTGACCAGCAAGAAAAAGCTAAGAGAACTGTGCCCCCTCTCCTACTAGCCCTTTCTCTCTCCTCCCTGGTGTCAGGATGTTGGAAGGGATTGGGGTGGAGTAGGGAGAAAGAGATATAAGAAATGTAAATAAAAGTTTTTAAAAAGTATGCCAACAGTATGGTGCACGTGGCCTTGGGTTCAGTTCCATCCACTATTAAAAAACAAAAACAAAACAAAACAAAACAAAAAACCTCCTTGTATTCTGTCTGACTTTCCCTTCTGTTTTTGTCACATTGGAATTAAGATCATGAGTACTCTCAGCTGCTGACTACTTCTTAATACTCATTGCGAATGAGAAGGACTTACCTCTCATCTTCTGGAGTGTGTGGAGTTATTCCTGGCTTGTAAGTATCCAGCAAACTCTGTTGGATGATGAGTTGGGTGTCAACGTCAGCGTCTGTGTCCTCGTCACTGCTGCTGTAGTTATCCATGTGAAACTTGGATAGGTTTACTTTCAGGTCAGAAGCAATTAAAATATTTTTCCAGTTGTGAAAAGATTTTTCAAGTGCTTAAAAATATAGATGACATTTAGAAAACTAGGAAATTGTTAGGATGGATAAATGAAGAAAATGCAAAATTTTAAAACAAAGAATACATTTAAAATCTCCCATGATTTTAAAACGTTTCTGGACTGCCATGGTCAACATAAATGAGAAGTTTCAGTAAATAGACGTTACCTAAAGCTTAGTCAAGAAAATCCTTTCATGTGAGACCTGGCGCATGAATCATTGCCAACTGTGCACAAGGATTAATATCTAAAATATATAAAGAACTGCAAGATGTAGGTAGCCAAAGCCTGAGCTAGCTACTGACTGGGCTAATGAGCTGTGCAGACAGCCCTCAAAAGAAGAATTCAAGTGGCCAGTAAACTGGTTGCATAGTGCCAGAAGGTGCTTGGCAGGCTTCTGGAGGGGGTATCAGTAGCCCTACCCAGCCCTGGGCTCTGCACACCACAATAACGGCATGCTTAGGAAGACGCTCCCAGAGACTGAGACCTCACTGCTTTCTGACTGGCTGTGACCCCTGTTCCACAGGAGGGAATCCATGCCTGGTACTGTCACTTCAGCCCTCCTGCTTGAGCTGCTCAGAGGCTCCTGCAGGGAACCTACTATTGCTGCTTTACTAATGGAAATGCTGTGAAAGTGCTTTCTAAATATTTATGTTTACAACCATAGATTTATGCTGCTCTAGTCTTTGGTATAGAAGCTCCTGTTTGCCATGAGTAGTGGCTAATGCAGAGACTCATAAATGGTATAAGTAACTCTGAGTGTTCAGCTATGGATGGGTCATAAATCAACATTCCCCATATCAAGGAACATTGAGGAGGAAGGGCCAGAAGGTATGAGCTGGCCGATGAGAAGGAGGGCTGTAAATGACTTTTGGACAGGCTGTGGTTGCTGCACACACCAATGCCAGCAGCTATGGTTCTAGCACAAGGCCGATACAAAATGAAGCCAGTCTAATTCTAGCAC